TTTATGCAACTTTCATCATTCTAAATGTTTCTTAATGGGATTAAGTTAATGAACCAAAACTGTTCTGATGGATTCTACATCAGCAACCTCCTCTTTTAACTGCTCTTTGTTTCATGTTTAGCTGAAATGCACAATTCTGTAAATGACCCAATAGTATAAAAGGGATAGATGTTTACTTTTAATTACCAAAGGCTTATTTATTTTTTCATTAAGTCATTTTCTCACATTTATTATTAATTTGTCAAAGTGTTATGTTCTTTCAAAACAGGAACTTCTATGCACAAATTTCAGAACAGAAAACTGTATGAAGCCACGTTTCTTACAGATCATGTTGGAAAGTTTTCTGATTAGTATTTAGAAAATAAATAAATAAATCAACAAATAAAATAAAAACAAATGCTCAAGGTTGTTAGGGTAGTGGACGTGGTAACGCTTTAAAATGAGGGTCGCTTTATTAACGGCATTGTTAACTATTAAGCATCCTTACGATTAGGACAAAGGGAGTGGGATCGGCATGGTTAAGCATTTGTTATTACTTTATAAAATAGTTTATTAATGCTTAATAATGCACTAAATATTACTAAAAGGACCTTTATTGTAAAGTGTTACCATTGATGCTTCAATTAATAAAGAGAATAAATTGTACTATGAGTGGATGACTTACTGATTAAACCGTTATAATTATTATTATTTTTATACACATTTACTGGAATTTGTTAGAATTAAATATTGTTTTAAGTATTCAGATAAACAAGCACAAGCAGTCAAAATGTATTCAAGTGTTATCTGCCTTTATTATGACAGCAAAATGGAAATTTAAACAAAAGTAGCTAGAAATTGGTATTTGCCTTGGTGTTATTATCAATAATAATAATAATAATAATAATAATAATAATAATAATAATAATAATAATAATAATAAAATTGCCTTAGAAACATGGATTGATTCTGGCACTTCAGTGAAAGCATACAAATATACAAATATACAAATAATCCAATAATAATAATAATAATAATAATAATAATAATAATTATTATTATTATTATTAATAATAATAAAGTGAATTCATGTTTAACTGGAGGAGGTAATAAATCAGTGTTTTTTTTGTAGTTAACCAAATGTTGGATGGTCATTAACTAAATCTTATTATTGGATATTTTTGTTATGTGGAATTCCACCTTTATGCACACACACACACACACACACACACACACACACACACACACACACACACACACACACACACACACACACACCGCTAAACACAGCTTTCCTTGTTCTTGACATCACCAATGACCATCACATTCCCTCTCCGAGCTTTGTTAATATCTGGTAATACGTAGACAACATGGCAGATCGCTTCACTCTTTCTGCTCATTTTGGAAAGGTTTATATAGAAAACTCTTAAGTCACAGAAACAATCAGACCAAAAATATGTATGTCCCCACTGACACAATTAACATAATCAGTTAAACAAAATAGCAGCACACCCTGTTAGAGGCACCCGCAGCGGATGCACATTGTAGCCAAGCAATAACAATTAACCCGACCACATTACACCGCTGGTAATTGCGATTACTAAGAAGGAGAGCCAAAGCGAGCACAGGTGAGACCCGAGCGCTGTCGGCTGAATTACAGAGAGTGTGCTGCGCTTTCAGTGTGCAGATCGGCTGCCTAACCTGCACCGAGGGGCTGGAGCCCAGGGAGAGAGGATAAGCCTTGTTTATCACAACGCTCTGGGTGTAGAAGCTTATTAAAGTGCCAGGTGCTTTTCAAAAACAATACCCCCTCCCCTCCCAACCCGCTGCTTCCACGACCCGATCCTGATTTCGCTGGCTCCACGTCTGCCTCTCTCCTCCACAGCAGAACTCCGAGCCAGACGATAGAACTGAGGTTGAGGAATGAAGCCTCGGCTCGATTCCGCTAGCGGGGGCAAACTGCAGCGTTTTGCTGCCTTCAGAAGTTCAAGTTTATTTATTTATTTTCTCCCTCACAACCCCCCCGTGGCCAGCGAGGTGGAAATGGCATGGCTGATGAAATAAAATCATTTCTTCTCTTTCTTGTTTTCGCCTCTGAAAGCTGCCGTCACACTCCTTTCCTCGATTCTTCCCATTTCACCCCCTCCCATCTCTTTTGACTGTTCCTGCGATGTGGGGCCTGATCTTTTAGGCCTAAAATATCACAAGCACCATCAAAACCATCTGTTCAGTAAGAGACAGTCACATACAACAAATTACATGGTACACTTCAGCTGCAGAGTACAAGAGGCACCACGTAGAAAAAAGATGAACGACTCACAAGCAGGCAGATGCACCGCTGTTGTTGATTTCCCTCTAAAGCAATGTCACTCTCTGTGATCACATTTAAACACAATTAAATGATTTAATGATCAAATGTGTTAAAATGTGAAAAGTTCAAAATCTTTCAGTGTCTACAACAGAACATGCTGCATTTGTTTGCCTGATAACACTTGTACTTTTATACTCAGACCAGCTCTGTTCAAGCTGTGCAGAACTTCATCATTTTCCATTCTGGCTTCCATGGTAACAGATTGCATCCACGCTGGCTGCAGGACATACTTGCTTCAGATGCTTCTTAGACCGTGTTGTAGCAGGAATTCAGAAACAAGAGCGAAAACAAATTCTGACTTTGCACACAGAGACAAAACAGGGAGACTGACAATGACAAAGATTTGTAGAGGAACAAAGAGAAACCTTGTGTACCAAGGGGGGTAATGATTTCGTACATGCAGGTGGGTTCGGGTTAGGGTCAGATATGAAACCGGTCAGAGGTCTTTTTTTTTATGCATCTCAACTGGATTCCACTAAAACAAATAGAAAAAAAAAACCACAGATTACTAATTTCTTGTGCTTTTATAAAAAAAAAAATGATACATCATTTTGTATTTAACATGATTACTCACTAAAGTGGGAACAAGTATCCAGTCCAGAGTGTACTTTAGGGGATTACAGTTACTGGCTGAGCCCCCTGCTTTGGTTCTCACGTCACTTCCAAGTCACAGAGCATGTTCCAAGTGACAGGGTACATATATATAGGAAACATTTTACTGATTGGCTTAATAAACTGAACTGTTTTGGAATGTTTACTTTGTGAAATGCCTTGAGACGACTCTTTGGCGTTATATAATAAACCGAGTTGCTTTACATAATCAGGCGTCAGAGTTACACTTAGTTGAATAAAATTATTATTGCTCATAAACAAATTAACATTGACTTTTATAAGAATGCACGAGCCAGTTAAGATAAAGAAATAACAACTATATATATATATATATATATATATATATATATATATATATATATATATATATATATATACTCCTTTAAAAGCAAAACTACGGGGGCCCGAATGCCCAATCAAGGACTAAGTAAAATATATGTTGCAGTAGCATTGATGTTTAGAAAGTGTATGAAAAAAATAAGTGTGCAGAGGTCAAAATTGAAAATAATGCTACATTTCTTATAGTTTGTGTGCTTTGCCCTCGCTCTGGCACTTGTGATTAGTGTTGGAAAAGCGTGAGAGCAAAGACAAAAATCCTCTGTTCTCAAACAAAAATCAATTGGATGGTTTCTATTCCTTAGACCCGTTGTCTGCAGATTAGCACTTAGCTTTGATTTTGTAAATAATCATCTAATTTATTTTTGTTGTGAAAAACAGAGAAAGGAAATGATAAGGAATGGTTAGGGTAAGGGTTTCCAAGACATTGGGATGTTTGACAGATATTTTCTTCCAAGTCCAGCATAAAAGCAACAAGGTTCACATAAAGGATTTATAGCCTAATTTGGTCCTTATGAAATTTCAGAGATGACATGTTTTAATAATGAATATTTTTATTGATCCAGTATTCTCACTTATAACAATAAAAATAATATCACTCTGCAGAAATGGCAAACATACAAACATAACTACACTATTCCATCTATTATGTATTTCGTTAGACTTCTGTGGCATTTGCATTAACTGTACTTTTGTGAAATTCACACACTTGTACAAACCTACTTGCATAGATTGCAACAAGAGCTGGAGCAAACGATGAGCAGCTTCAAATGTCAGTTCTTTTTCTTTTCTTTTACCAAAAGATTAAAAGAAGAAAGAGCTAGATGTATAATTAATTACAAATTTTTGTTGCCATTAAAATGTGATTCAAAGTAGAAACTGTGCAATATAGTGAATTTATTAGCAGTACTTGTAAATGATTGGGGAAAAATACAAGTTTAGAAATGTAAACATGTAAATCTCAGATGTTAAGGAAAGACATCTGTTTATTGTGTTGTTTGTTAATTTGCAAGTTTCCCTTCGTAGTGATGCGTGGCCTCTAATGATGGATGATAGCATAAAGATCCTTTATTTACACACACACACACACACACACACACACACACACACACACACACACACACACACACACACACACACACACACACACACACACACACACACACACACACACACACACACACACACACACACACACACACACACACACACACACGCACACACACACACACACACACCTATACAGTGTTTTGAATTTTAAAATCCTCCAACAGGTGCAAACAGCATTTGGGGCAACTTCTTTGTTTGCATGCACCATGTAACCATCTCATCATGTTGTTTGTGACTGACTGCCCATTTACTTGTTGCTATAGTAACTGACATATTCTGGTGCAGCTTCCCTTAAAGGCTATTGCTTAAGCCCTAGAATGTGTGCCATTTAGGATTCCAATAAGCTTTCTCTTAAAGTATATAAGACTCACACCCGAACGTCCAAACCGAATGCCAAATTGTGAGGGCACACGCGGTACATCCCCAAAACGAAGTGTAGAAGGTCAAGCAGATATAAATCTATTATTCTGTCTCTGGAAGGGAGCATGTATAAATGTCAATGTGCCCAAATCCTTTTTCTTGTGGCATTCCTTGACCACCTTTGTTGTTGTCTAATACTCACACCACTTCCCTTTGTGTTTGTTTTTTACAGGTAGGAATGGACTGGGCTGAGAAATCTTCAAGCTAGTGAAGACAATCGATGGGAACGTTTGTCGTTAAAGGACAAAAATACACTCTTTATGGATGCTAAGTGCTTAAGAGAAGTATAGACATACATACAGAGAGAGATTTTCATTTTGTTTTTTGGTCTCTATCCTACGTTTTTGTTAGAACTGCTCTTTGGCTCCAAACATTTACACCAGGAGGTAAAATTGAGTGATTGGTCATTACATTTCAAGGACGTCAAAACAGCAAGACATAAAAAAAAAAAAACCTGGGGAGCCCAGTGGTGGTGGTGGTGGTGGGCGTGGTGGGGAGTCAGTTGACTTAGCAGCTGCTGCAAATGATTCACTGTTGAACAACACATATTTTTTTTGTAAATCTACAAAGACCAATTTCTTGTTGGAGGGAATCAATCCAATATGAAGGACGTGTCTTTTGTGGATTTTCTCTTTGTGGGATTGGCCATGGCCTCTCTTGTGTCCACTGAGGTGTCACCTGATTGCCCAAAGCTTTGCGTATGTGAAATCAGACCCTGGTTTTCTCCCAGTTCAGTGTACATGGAAGTGCTGACAGTTGACTGCAATGATCTGGGACTATTCAACCTACCAGAAAGATTACCACTGGGGACGCAAGTGTTGTTACTGCAAACAAACAATGTTGCCAAGATTGACAAATCTTTGGATTACTTGGCCAACATCACAGAAATTGATTTGTCACAAAACAATCTATCCTCCATCAGCGACATACATTTGGGCAATCTCTCTCAGCTGCTTTCCCTTCACATGGAAGAGAACTGGATACGGGAGCTACCCGAGCAATGTCTGGCAGATGGGGCTAACCTTCAAGAGCTGTACATGAATCACAATCTCATCTCATCCATTTCTCCAATGGCTTTCCAGGGCCTTAGCAACCTTGTTCGGCTCCACCTCAATTCTAACAAGCTGAAGGTCATTAATAGAGAGTGGTTTGAACCCATGCCAAACCTGGAGATCCTAATGATTGGTGAAAACCCAGTTCTTTCCATTGACGAAATGAACTTCAGATCTCTCAGTAACCTCCGCAGTCTTGTTCTTACCAGAATGAACTTGTCACAACTTCCCGACAATGCACTAGCTGGCCTTGACAACTTGGAAAGCATTTCATTCTATGATAATATTTTTCCAGAGGTGCCTCACTCTGCCCTGAAAAATGTAAAAAATCTCAAATTCTTGGATCTAAATAAAAACCCAATTTCAAGGATACAGAGAGGGGATTTTGTAGATATGCTCCATTTGAAAGAATTGGGGATTAATAGCATGCCAGAGCTAGTGTCCATTGACAGCTTTGCTCTCAACAATCTCCCTGAGCTTACTAAAATAGAAGCCACCAACAATCCTAAACTCTCCTACATCCACCCTAATGCTTTCTACAAACTGCCCCGGCTGGAAACTCTTATGCTGAACGGTAATGCTCTCACTGCCCTCCACAGGATAACAGTCGAATCTCTTCCAAATCTCAGAGAGGTCAGCATGCACAGCAACCCCATCCGCTGTGACTGTGTAGTTCGCTGGATGAACATGAACAAAACCAACATCCGTTTCATGGAGCCTGATTCACTTTACTGCGTTGAGCCTCCAGAGTACGAAGGGCAACACGTTCGACAGGTGCATTTCAGGGAGATGATGGAGATTTGCCTGCCCTTAATATCACCCGAAAGCATGCCAGGGCACATTAAAGCACAGAATGGAAGCTCTGTGTCACTGCATTGCCGGGCCTTTGCTGAACCAGAGCCTGATATCTATTGGATTACCCCATCTGGTACCAGGGTTCTGCCTAACACCATGTCTCACAAATTTTACGTGCACCCAGAAGGAACGTTTGACATCTATGATGTAACGGAAAATGAAGCTGGTGTATATACATGTGTTGCCCATAATCTGGTTGGTGCGGATCTTAAAACCGTCTCAGTAGAGGTGAATGGATATTTTCCTGTATCAACCAATGGCTCACTCAATGTGTTTGTGAAATCAGTGGGAATAAACTCTATCCTGGTTTCCTGGAAAGGCCCCACAGGAACATTGACCCCAAGCATTAAATGGTACTCAGTATCAGATACCACCCATCCCACCACAGCGTTTACCACCAGGGTTCCTTCAGATGTCCAAGTCTACAACCTCACTCATCTCAGCCCTGCCACTCAGTACAGAGTATGTGTGGATATCCGCACTATTCACTACAACCATGACACCAAATGCATCAGTGTCACTACTGATGGATTAAAGTTGGCAGCCAAGGACACAGAAAAATGGGATGCAGCACTAATCACCGTCTTTGGAGGGTTCTTGGCTGTGAGTTCACTGGCCTGTCTGCTTTTATATGCATCTCTGAGGAACCACTACATTTACGGGAATATAAGGAAATGTGACTCCAAAGCTTTGCTTTTGCCAGCAGAAGCTACTGGTCTTCACTCTTCATTCTTTACAAAGCTGTGGGATTCAGGTAAGGGCCTACCAAGTGGTGTGGAAGTTAAAGCCACAGTCATAAATGTATCTGATAATGTCTTTTAAGAATCCTGGTGGTGTATAGCCCCACACATTGACGACAGTGAATGGACAAGGCCGTGAGCAGGGATGAATAAAGTTGGACTGGTTTTAAAGGCCATAGTCATGGCTAATCCTCAGCTCAGATACACTGGAAAAACTATCATTTTTGGGATGGGATACTTTTAACTGGACCACATGTCATCCCACTTGGAGCGATGGTTTTGTAACTGTTATACTGAACCAATCTACCATAAACAGGAAGAGGTCTTTACTGCAAAAATATACACTTCACTACCATTCATCCAGAAATGCAGGAAGAAAACCGAGAGCAAAGCAGATGATGGGTGTCAACTCTCTTGTAATTGACTGTTAAATGTGTTCAGAGTTGTGGAACTGTCCGTGTGGTCCCAAGCAATACCGTCTGTGCTTTGTCAAACATCCATAGACGAGTTAGAGAAACAATAATAACACCTGTCTATTATGGGAAAGGAGAATTTAGTAGACTAGCCGAATAACAGTGACTATGGTGTAAGCCTTTTGATGAACTATATCCCCTTTTTTCTATTTAAGGATGGACTCTTGATTTTCTTGGAAATATTGTTATATATTCTATTCTGTTGATGTAATGACAAATCCTCTGTATGTGAAAAGTTTAAATGGGTTTTAAATTGCAGAGAGGAGCAGACTACTTTTGATTACAGCGTCACATTAAGCTTAATGAAATTCAGCTACAAAATGGGTGTTTAGAGAGGGGATTTGCCAAATGGCTGTTTATGCTTCGTAGTTCTCATTACAATGACTGGAGGAAAAATATTGAATGCATTTTACTAAAACTAATATAAAAGGTTGATTAAAACTGAGGTAAGTGATGCGATATCTGTTCAAGAAGTGGTTTGTTATACTCTGGTAAGTGCCTACAACAAGAACTACATGAAAGAGGCGGACAGGATCTGGGGGAAGTCTTCAGCCACAGCAAAACACATCATCATCGCTGAACCACAAGCTATACTCCGATACGTTTAGTGGAAATACTTTCTCAGTATTTTTAGCATACATATTTTAAGAAAACATTTTGTTATTGCTTTGGGTGTAAAGTTAAAAGCCATTTTTATATTAACTGTATTATATGTGATCAATGGGCACAACAGACTAATCGAGAAAAGCGCTATGAAAAAAATAAATGTCATTGTTTCTTTTACAAAAAGTTGTCTACTTTTTTTCTTTCTATATCATGGCGTCAACACTCAATGAACGGTTGAAGTGGTCACCAGCTTTAGTCATTACTGTGGTTTTTCTGTTTTGAAATAAGTGTTAACATTAAACTCGTATTCTGGTCAAAAGCTACAGTTGATTTGCGATGGTCCAGATGTGAGAAGGCCAGAAAGAAATTTTTCGAAGTCTTCAGTTAATCTCACCGTGTTTAAAAACATAACTTTGGAAAGAGTTTCAGTAAAAAAAAAACATCTTACTTTCTGCAAACCATGAAGAAATAAAGTCAACGTTTTGAGGACAAGTTGGATCCAACAGGTCATCAGCATCTGCTCACCATGTTAGAGCTATTTTTAGTGTTGTCATCTTTGAAATGAGGTGTTTTCCCAAGATTTACAACTGGCTTGCAATAGTCTAATTCTTTTTTCTGTTGTAAATAAAAGTTAGGATCATGCAGAAACTTTAGATTGCCGAAACATCTGAAACAACTTGGCTTAACAAGTATAACTTTTGTTATTATTATGCTAAAATGGCATCAATTGCATCTTTCACAATTAAAGGTCCCTGGTAAAGGAAGGAGCAGGAGCTTGTGGCAGAGGTTTAGCAGTACCGGCTAGATATAGTCCGACTCACCTCAACACATAGCATTGGCTCTGGAACCCAAGTCCTTGAGAGGGGTTGGACACTCTCTTTTGCTGGAGTTGCTCCGGGTGAGAGGCGAAGGGCTGGGGTTGGCTTTTTGATAGCCCCAAGACTGTGTGTTGGAGTTTACCCCGGGGGACGAGAGGGTAGCTTCCCTGCGCCTTCGGGTCAGGGAACGGGTCCTGACTGTTGTTTGTGCTTATGGGCCAAATATCAGTTCAGATTACCCACCCTTTCTGGAGTCCCTGGGACGAGTGCTAGATAGTGCTCCATCAGGGGACTCCATTGTCCTGCTGGGGGACTTCAATGCTCACGTGGCAATGACAGCATGACCTGGAGGGGTGTGATTGGGAGGAACGGCCCATCTGATCTGAACTCGAGTGGTGTTTCGTTATTGGACTTCTGTGCAAGCCGCAGTTTGGCCATAACGAACACCATGTTCGAACATAAGGATGCCCATTGGTACACTTGGTACCAGGGCAGCCTAGGTCACAGGTCAATGATAGACTTTGTAGTCGTATCATCTGACCTGCGGCCATATGTTTTGGACACCCGAGTGAAGAGAGGAGCGGAGCTGTCAACTGATCACCACCTGGTGGTGAGTTGGATAAGATGGCAGGGGAAGATGCCGCGTAGACCTGGCAGACCCAAACACATAGTGAGGGTCTGCTGGGAACGCCTGGCAGAAGAACCTGTTAAGACAGTCTTCAACTCCCACCTCCAGCAGAGCTTTGACCGCATCCCGAGAGCAGTGGGGGACATTGACTCCGAGTGGGCCTTGTTCCACTCTGCAAATGTTGAGGCGGCTGTTGCTAGCTGTGGTCGCAAGGTGGCCGGTGCCAGTCGTGGTGGCAACCCCCGTACCCGCTGGTGGACACCAGAGTTTCTGGGAGCCGTCAGGCTCAAGAAGGAGGCCTACAGGGCGTGGCTGGTCTGTGGGTCTCCGGAGGCAGCAGACAGGTACCGGATAGCCAAGCGGGGTGCAGCAGTGGCAGTTGCCAAGGCAAAATCTCGGGCGTGGGAGGAGTTTGGTGAGGCCATGGAGAAAGACTATCGATCGGCTCCCAAGAGGTTCTGGCAAACTGTCCGGCGCCTCAGGAGAGGAAGGCAGCAACTCGCTCACACTGTTTACAGTGGGGATGGGGAGCTGCTGACATCAACTGGGGCTATAGATGGACGGTGGAAGGAATACTTTGAGGAGCTCCTCAATCCCACCTATGCGCATTCCGAGGAGGAACCAGAGCCAGGAGACCTGGGGATGGACTGTCCAATCTGTGGGGCAGAAGTTGCTGAGTTAGTCAAACAACTACACAGCGGCGGAGCCCCGGGGGCGGATGAGGTTCGTTCTGGGTATCTCAAGGCTATGGGTGTTGTATGGAGCTTGGGCTGTCATGGTTGACACGTCTCTGCAACATTGCGTGGTCATCGGGGGCAGTTCCTGTGGAATGGCAGACCGGGGTGGTGGTCCCCATCTTTAAGAAGGGTGACCTGAGAGTGTGTTCCAACTATAGGGGGATTACACTCCACAGACTCCCTGGAAAGGTCTACTCCAAGGTACTAGAGAGGAGGGTCCGATCGATAGTTGAATCTCAGATTGAGGAGGAGCAATGTGGTTGTCGTCCTGGCCGTGGAACTGTGGACCAGCTCTATACCCTTGCAAGGGTGATGGAGGGGGCATGGGAGTTTGCTCAACCAATCCACATGTGCTTTGTGGATTTGGAGAAGGCTTATGACCATGTCCCCAGGGGCACCCTGTGGGGGACGCTTCATGGGTATGGGGTGGGTGGCTTTCTGTTGAGGGCCATTCAGTCCCTTTATCAGAGGAGCGTGAGCTTGGTCCGCATAGCCGGTAGTAAGTCGGACCTGTTCCCGGTGAGGGTTGGACTCCGCCAGGGCTGCCCTTTGTCACCGGTTCTGTTCATTACCTTGATGGACAGAATTTGTAGGCGCAGCCGTGGTGTGGAGTGTGTCGAGTTTGGTGGCAGGAGAATCTCGTCTCTGCTTTTTGCGGATGATGTGTTCCTCCTTGCTTCCTCCAGCTCTGACCTTCAGCTCTTGCTGAGTAGGCTCGCGGCCGAGTGTGAAGCGGCTGGGATGAGGATCAGCACCTCCAAATCGGAGACCATGGTTCTCGATCGGAAAAGGGTGGCTTGCAAACTCTGGATCGGGGGAGGGGTCCTACCTCCATTGGAGGAGTTTAACTACCTTAGGGTCTTGTTCACGAGTGAGGGTAGGAGGGATCGGGAGATCGACAGGCGGATTGGTTCGGCGTCTGCAGTGATGTGGACACTGAGCCGATCTGTCGTGGTGAAGAGGGAGCTGAGCCAGAAAGTCAGGCTCTCAATTTACCGGTCGATCTACATCCTAATCCTCACCTATGGTCATGAGCTTTGGGTAATGACCGAAAGAACAAGATCACGGATACAAGCAGCCGAAATGAGTTTCCTCCGTAGGGTGGCCAGGCTCAGCCTTAGAGATAGGGTGAGGAGCTTGGACATTCGGGAGGGACTCGGAGTAGAACTGCTGCTCCTCTGGATCGAAAGGAGCCAGTTGAGGTGGCTTGGGCATCTGGTCAGGATGCCTGCTGGACGGCTCCCCGGGGAGGTGTTTCGGGCATGTCCTTTTTTTTTTTTTTTTTTTTTTTTTGTGCGTGTCCTGTCTGGCTGTGAAGCAAGCAGAATTGATGTCTGAATGCTGGTAACAAGCCTTACAGATTTATTCTCAGGTGGGGCATCAAAGCGTCTGCATTAAATGTCATGCCTGATACTTCAAATTTTATTGTTATTGTTTTTGAATGCTTTGTAATTCCAGCCAGACACGGAGACAGAGGTGAAAGAGAAAGGAAAAGACAAATGGTGGGAGGGGGGGGGGGGGTCCACAAAGATAAACAATAATGAACAAGAGTCTGCTTGAAGACCTGCAGAAAGAGAAGAGCAGAAAAAAATGGGACACACAACAGTACATCAGGAGCAAGCTATCACTGCGTCAACGTGATGATGAAATATAAAATCAACGTTGTTTAACTGAACAATCACACGATAATAAATCATAGTGCATTTAGTGGCAATGACAGCCTTGAGACAAGTGTTGAACGTGCCCAAGCCCATTCTTTTGAGAGCACCATGTGAGCACCTGTGTGTGTACACGCGCTTGTTTATGTAAGGTTTCTCTATAGGAGCATCCAACAGAGAGTGTGAGGGACCACAGATCTGCCCCCAAAGATGCGTAGGAGACGGGGGGAGCTCCAAGTCCCAGAGATCCAGGCGCTGGCCCAGAACACAGGAACCCCAAGGGGACTGCAACCAGAAAGGCCCCCTGCCCACCATCGAGAGGCGCAGAGGATCGCCCCGGGGGGCCACAACCAGCAGCCGGCAGAGCCCCGGGAGATATTAGCGGCAAGCACACAGGCCCGCCCGCCGCCTCCCACCCCCTAGCCGGCCAAGTTTCGGGCATGTCCTGCCGGCAGGAGGCCCCCGGGTCGACCCAGGAAACGTTGGAGAGGTTACATCTCCAATCTGGTCCGGAACGCCTTGGGGTCCTGCCGGAGGAGCTGGTGGAGAAGGCCAGGGAGAGGATGGTCTGGAGCTCTTTAGTTGGTTTGCTGCCTCCGCGACCCGGACCCGGATAAACGGAGGAAGACGACGACGACGTAATGTAGGGTGCACCATGTTTTACTCCTGCAGAAGATAATCTGCTGGTTACATATTTATCATACAGCACTTTCAGAACTCCATTTTTCAGTGAACATGTAACAGTAATTACATGCATTCATTTTCCAAACTGTTTATTCTTAAAGGGACTTTACAGAGTTTTGAATTTTTATGCTCGCGATTGCCCCCTCAGGCCAAAAGCGTAATGGCAGCTTCAATAGTAGGCTCGTGCACGAGGCACGCATGCTGTACGTGCACACTCCTTAACAAAAATAACAGCTGAGACAGTCCAGTGTGTGTGTGTGTGTGTGTGTGTGTGTGTGGCTCGGAGGACAGAGGACAGGAGAACGCACAGCTAGTTGATTAAATAATATGGTTCTGTACCTTTCTCTTCAGGACAGCCGACCAAGGTTTATGATGGGTCAGTCCTCCTGCATGCTCAGATCATTCCCTTCCCTTGCATGAAAAATTGTTCCAAAATGAAAGTTGAACCCACATCTTTTTAATCTGTGAATTCAATGCCGTTTGGCGAGTCTCAAATAAAAATGTGGGCATCTTACTGTAAAAGAATATACCATTAATGTAAAAAATAAACTCTAAATAAATTATGTTCACATCCAGAATCAAACCCAGGGCTTCCACTCGGAAGTCCACAGTCTTACTGGGTGAGCTGAAACATCAGTGACATCTTTTGTATCCGTAA